TCCTCCTCTCTACCCTCTACCCCACTAGAACCCTCACCCCGCACCTCTCTAACCTGTTTGTCTACAGACAACCCCCCACCAAGCACAAAGACAACTCAAGGCGCCGTCTTTCAATGACTCCACGTGAGTTGGCAAAAGTTCGTTTTCAGAATCCGCCGTGTGCCTCGTCATCGTCTCTGGCACCCTGTCTGCTGCATCTGGATTATTGAAGAGAGAAAACAACATTTTGTCGTGTTTATGTTTCGTGCTATGAGACTACGTTTGCTGAACTGTGGATGACAATGAGCTTCCTGTGTGCACTGCACTGGATGATGAACTTCTTTCGCACCGTACGTAGCCAACCGTGCTAATCGGAGGTGCGGGGGAGAGTTTCAGTTTATTTGATTTGTTACGCAGATGATCCCGTTCAGCCAGTTTCCCGATTATTTCACGACGGAGATCGGTGGTGCGTGAGCAGAGCAGCAGCAGCAACAACAACAACCATCAACATTGCAGAGGACGAGTAGAGTGGCCTTAATGATATTGTTGTACAACTGCGAAAAGAAGGCAGTATTGGACGATAGAAAAATAAAACCACACGCAGAAACAAAGCAGAAATATAATGACAGCAATAGGCACGCCAGAAAAAGTCAGGTACATCTGCAAGTAAACTTCTAATACATTCCTGCGGAGGGAGCTGGTAGGAACATTGGGTTGCTCGGTCAATGGCCAGGGTCAACGGCGGCGTGGTGTATTCCGCAAATATGCTCGACTGTGAGGTCGGGAACAAGCCGGCGTGAGTAGGTTAAACGTTGAGTTTTATAAGGGCACCACGGGGTGACCAGCCCCTCCCCACCCAGCCCCACCCCTCCCTCCCACCCCCCACCCCTCCCTCCCCCCACCCAGCCCCACCCTCCCCACCGAGCCCCTCCCCACCCTCCCAGCCCCACCCCCCTCCCATTTTTGGGTGCACGACGGATGGACGGATAGAATAATCCCCTGTGGGCTTGTGTAACCAGGAGGTTCCTACCAGTAAATTTCGTCTCTATCACGGTGACAATCTCTCACGCGAATCGAAAACGACATTGCAAACATGTCGGAGCAAGAGGCGACAGGAAAGTATGGTCTGTGATTGGGCTAATAGGGACATAAATACGAAGAGTGAAGGGAGGAGGAAACTGAAGCTGTAGCTGAGTAGCTTTGATTTGTAGTGAACATACCAGTTACCAGTTGCTGCGTACAAAAAACACAGGCGCATATTCCAATATCTGTCCATATGACACGGATGAAAGTACTCTCATTCAGTTCCCTTCGTCAATTGCACTGCTGGACGACGGCCTCCCCCACGCGGTTGTTGGGCATGGCGGTTGTGTGGCCATAATTCACCACGCTCAGGCATCACTCGCCACGAATCGCTGCCCGTGGACGGGGTCCTGGGAGTCGCAGTGCCGTCAACCGCAGCGCCACCGCTCCCCACCGCGAGCGGTTCCCACTGCGCCTATCCGCTCGTGGGTCGCCGTGCTCCTCGAAGCCTCCCTCGTGGGGAGTGAAGCGTTGAAGCAATTATACTCTTAGGCTTTTTCGGTAAAGTCATGTAGGTTAAAATAATAATAAATAATAAAATGATAGAAATAATAATAGAAATAAAATAATAAATCACGACGTTTCGAGCGTAACACAAGGGTCCGTCATCAGGTGGGACAACCATAGCAAGAAACAAATGTTGAAGCAATTCCCCCTTGGTGTGTTTTGTGTGTGGGAGGAAACCAGAGCGCCTGGAGCTATAGTACACGTTTACAGCGGTAGTATAGTACATTCAAACTCTACATATTCTTTGGGTCTTTCGGTAAAGTCACGTAGATAGGTTCAAGGAAAATAACAAAAAATAACAAAAAACTACGACGTTTTTTAAATTTGCTTTGAACCTATCTACGTGACTTTACCGAAAGACCCAAAGAATATGAATTCCTGCAGTCACGAAAGCTTTCAGTCAAGATTTAAACTCTACATAGACACGTACTTGCTGTACTGCCTGGATTTGATTATGCGCAAACCATGGTTAGACAATGTCCCTGGATAGGGTTATTTTCAATCGGTGCATATTCAAGAGAGACAAGGATGAGTTTCATTCACAAGAGTGACTCAGGGTCACTGAGAAGGGATGACTGCCGGTGGACAATGCTGGTGACGGAAGGTCAGCCAAAGGAGGGAACGTGCCCCAGAGTGACGACCAACATGGAGACGGAGCGGTGAAGATCATCTCATGCGCAGGAGGAATGAGATGGATTGCGCCATCGCAAGATCTTCACAAATGTCTGCGGCTTGTGGAGGAATTCATGTAGCAGCGGATAGACCTTGAGTGAAGTCACCCCGCAATTACCCTTGATGATACAGCTCAGGATCTTCCCTTGATGTTAACTCTGTACCGTGCATGGCACTGTTTCAAGTGGGGGCCATACAAAAACTGAGGTAGCAGAGGCAAAGTTAAGTAAACATGAAACAATTCTTAAACGTGACAATAGGTTTTCCCCTTTTTTCTGTTGAGACGTTAAAACACCAAACTGAAACTTTTTACAAGAAATCATGTCTGCATTAACCAGAATACTTGTGGTCAGAATGCAAACAAAAACATCCTCTGCTAATATATGCATTGGCCTTGAAACTGATAGGTCCACACCAGAATGAGTAGCGATCTGCTGTTGCCTCTCGTGCATTCAGCGTTGTTATCATCCGCCCTTTAAAGGAACAGAAGCTGCGAAGCCCATCACTTAATCATACAAATGTATTGTATATACGTGTACCGACATTTTTGACTGAACTCTAAGAATTTAACAGGTGTGGGGGGAGGTCTGATCCCCCTGGAGCCCCCACCGACACCGCGTGATACATGGTGTGTGGTACGTGGTGTGTGTGTGGTACGTGGTGTGTGGTGTGTGTGTGTGGTACGTGGTGTGTGGTGTGTGTGTGGTACGTGGTGTGTGTGGTGTGTGTGTGTGGTACGTGGTGTGTGGTACGTGGTGTGTGTGGTACGTGGTGTGTGGTACGTGGTGTGTGGTACGTGGTGTGTGTGGTGTGTGTGGTACGTGGTTTGTGTGTGCGTGATGTGTGGTACGTGGTGTGTGTGATACGTGGTGTGTGTGTGTGGTACGTGGTGTGTGTGTGTGTGGTACGTGGTGTGTGTGTGTGTGTGGTACGTGGTGTGTGTGTGCGTGTCCGCTCAGAATGGCCCGAGCCGCGCGCTCCGGCGCACGTGGACGTGAGAGCACGTGGCCTCCTGTGCCAGCGCGACGTCTGTCTTTGAGGAGGAAGTCTGCTTCGTCAGAATGACTTTCGTTATTAGGTTTGGCCAGACCGCACGTGCCAACAGGTTGCAAGCTTGACTAACAAAACACTGCATCTGGCACGGCGCGGTTTATGCAGAGCTCCCTCCAAATGCAATCACGTTTTTAATAACAGCTTCTATAAAATGCCAGATACGGGCAGCCCATCTCCCTGCACTCATCATCCGACTCCCAAACCCCGCTTTGCGTTGCGAGTCGCTCCGCATATGGCAGTATAATCCCACACGCCGAAACAAATACAGTAAAACCTTGGATTGCGAGCATAATTCGTTCCGGAAACGTGTTTGTAATCCAAAGCACTCGTATATCAAAGCACTCGTATATCCGTTGTGATCACGTGACGCTCGGCAGACAAAGCGTATACGTACTACTCGTATTGCAAGACCTCGCTCGTTTATCAAATTAATATTTAATTAAAAAAATTGCTCGTCTTGCTAAACACTCGCAGACCAAGTTACTCGCAATCCAAGGTTTTGCTGTAATGTATATTGAAAACGTGTATTAGACAACACTGTGACTATCCACGTAAAATAAAACGGCATTTTTTATCCAGCAATCGTTTGACCGTATGCGGCAGTGTTCCGGGGCAACTTGTTTTATAATTATTATTCACCTTGTTTAGGCAGAAAGAAAGCGCTCCTGAGTTTCAAATTTATTCAGGAGGTTCCTGCTAAGTTTTTCCAGGAGGGGGCGACGATTGATACGTTTATTTCCCCCCAAACCATAATACTGTACAGGTTTATTTTGGGTTAGATCGCGTAAATATAAATGTTGTGTCGTTAAACCCAGCCAATTAGTAAACTTTGTCACGTAAACAAAACACGCAAATTAGTTACTAGTACAGCACACCGGTGTGTTGGAGAGTAATCCAAAACATTTACAATCTGCGTATGACATTGCGCCAATAATTCCAACCAGCATCATCAGGCGACAAACTTACTAGTTGGCTGTGTCGGGTGGTGGCGGGTTTAACGACACATTTATATATTTACGCGATTTAACCCAAAACACCTCTATTATGGATGATATTTTGGTCGCGAAAGCCTCCGTGTTAAACCTTTTCCCCCCCAAGTCAGTAGTTTGCGATTGTTTCATGTTTGTAAAAGTTGGATCATGACGCCAATACACAATTGCCCAATCTTGCGTTAAATCAGGAATTCTCTGCATCGGTATTGACTTTCCAAGTTTCACTGAGTCAAGTCTGATAAACAAATCCTCCTCCTTAAAATGGAATCAACGAAACATCTCAAACAAACATGCGCAGTTCTTTCCTGGAAAAATATAAACTTTTGAGATCTTAGCGAGACACTCCTAGATAAATAAATTCCGTTAAGATTTTTATTTTATTTATGAAAGTGAGTGAAGCTTTCCTACATAAATAAATATCACGACTATTTTTTATGTGTTTATGAAAGTTAAATCTTGACTGTACCCACACTCAATTAGCGAACATTCCCGTGGCTAAATAAGCACGAAGGGCTGCACTAAAAGCGGGGCGAAGTGCACGGCACTTCTGAGACCACAACACCAAAACCAACTCGCGATGCGTGCGAGTGGCCCCGACTGCACATTGCACGCGTCGCTCGCACACGCGGCGTGGACGCCCGGCCTCTCTCCCAGCCGACGACGTCTCTCCACGCTCCCAATGCACCCCCCCCCCCCTGTCTCCATGCCCTGTTTATTATAATTCCTCTTCGTGGCAGAACACGCGCGTTCCCGTGCGCGTACGGGCCACGGGGCGGTCTCCCCGGGGCTATATATACACAGAACACCGCGGCGAACATCGCAGTCCCTCCACAGGAAGCTCTCCTGGCAGTGTGTGCGTGTGTTGTGTGCGTGTGTGGCCTCGACCCCTGACCTCGACAGCACCTGGCCAAGCCGACTCTGCTCTACACCGCGGGACGAGTTCGCACTGCACGGCACTGCGCGCTGACTGACGCACGTGGGATCACTGCAGAAGCGAATTCAGTAGCGCAAGGTAGGGTGGGTGGGTACGTGTGTGGTTGTGTGTGTGTGCGTGTGTGTGTGCGTGTGTGTGCGCGTGTGGGTGCGTGTGTGGGTGCGTGTGTGGTTGTGTGTGTGTGTGCGTGGGGAACGGTGGCGCAGTGGTTGGCTCATTGCCATGGGTTCCATTCCCGACCGCAGGTAACATCAGCGGCGAGTAATATCTGAAGTTTTCCTGCGTCTCGCTGAGATCGAATACAAATGCAATGAGTACCTGGTGAGGTTTGTGAACATCAGCACTGGCGTGGTGTTGGCCACAGTTAATCGTCGTGTGCAATACCGGGCTTGATTGATGCTTGTTAACATCACTTTCTCCAGCTGCAGAGACGTAAAAAAACACTCTTTGTCTCTGGTTCATCTGTCTTCAACTCTGGTGAGCGTCACGTTCGGTCTGTACAGACTCAAGTTGTGTCATACATTTTTTTCTAATTTTTTTACCTCGATAAGTCAATAAAAAAATACGCAAGCATTTTATATACATTTAATAAATGTGTGTCGTTAATTAAGCATTGGTAATAATTTCAGCAGAACAAAGTAGTTCAGAAATATTGTGTGATTTATTTATAGGCATTAATGACCCCTGAGTCAAGTTTCTCTGAGGTTGACTCAGCCTAAAGTGAGCACCCCATCTGGTACGACAGCGTGGCCACCATCAGTACTGGGCACTCAGAATCAGAATATCACCCAACTCAGGTGCTGAGCTTTGCCCAGGGCCGTACTCGACACTGCCCTGGCTCACGCGGTGTCCGTGCAGGGCGCGTGGTGCGATGTCTACGCCCAGCAGGGCCTGGAGTCCCGCCGACTCCAAGCCCGAGGAGGAGCAAGGCATGCGACTGCTCCGCAAGACCAAGGAAAATCCCCTCGTGCCACTCGGTGAGTCGAGACACCCACACCCCCTGTCACCAGTTTCAATCGTACCCTAAAATCTGTCGTACAAGCCACTAATCCCGGAACCTATCTCTAATTATAATCCTAATTCTTATCATACAGCCTTAACCAGGACTTTCCACCTCTGACTGGACCACACATCCGTAACCATCCTTCCCCCACTAAACCTGACCATACCCCTAATAATTACCATACACTTCAATTCTGATCTTACTTTAACTTTTAAACCTACCCTTAGCTATTACCATACAGCCATATATCTTACCATATAACCTCAAAAACCCTATATTATGGACTCTTATTTCTGATTCTACCCATAACTTTACCCCTAACTCTACCCATAATTGAACCCTAAAGCTTAACTCAAAGCTAACAGTAATCTGCAGACCAAAAGCCATGACATTAGATTACTAACACACTGATGCTGCAATATGTTTAGGCTCCAGGGACTCACTATTTCTATAAAATGTAAACAGTAAATACCTATACAATTATGTTGATATCATATTTGTCCTTATCTATAAAAGGACCTCGAAATGGTAAAGTTTTCTTATAAAATGTTTGCAAATTTACCCAAAAAATACTCTATGTATATTATATTCATGAACTAAATGAGAGATGTAAACATTTTAAGAATGTGTGCATTGTTTGACATTTCAGAGGCTATTTACGAAATAAAATAGGTTTCCTCTAATTAAAACGGAGATGTGTATATATACGAGTGATCTAATATATAGTGATGTAAATATATAGCGACGGAGTGATGCAAAGTTAAATGATGTTCTTTCAGGGTAAAAAATCTGAAATTTGGTAGAATTATACGTGGATCCATGCTGATAGCTAAACAAATACACGTAGCAAATATTCAAAGTGTGAGCCAGAAATTACGTCCTGGAGGTTGATGATTTCACTCACAGAGCAAGGGTCACAGCCTCAAGTTCAACACCGCTTTAAATGTCGTGCCACGGAGTACGACCACTAAAGTGAAGACGTGGCCAAGTCCAATGCAGCTTAGCAGTGTAATGCTTATTACACACGAGTCACGCTCAATATGTTGACTATTTTCTTGGTTCTTTCGGTAAAGTCACGTAGAATGTAAATAATAAAATAATAAAAAGAAAACATAATAAAATAATCCTCACGACGTTTCGGCCACAACGCAAGCAGCCGTCCTCAGGTGAAGACCAGGTCTGTCGGGGAGACAGCGTCTGAATGAAAAACACCACGCTTGGAGCGTATATTTAAGCTGGGTTGTGGTGTTGTTTCATTCAGACGCTGTCTCCCCGACAGACCTGGTCTTCACCTGAGGATGGCTGTTTGCGTTGTGGCCGAAGCGTCGTGAGAATTATTTTATTATGTTTTATTTTTATTATTTTATTATTTCCATTCTACGTGACTTTACCGAAAGAACCAAGAAGATGAATCCCTGCAGTCACGAAAGCTTTAAATCGAAATGCTTACTATTATAGATGTGCGTGGTGTGTGCCACCGTGCAGGGCTGGCAGGATGCGCCGCCGCCGCTGCGTACGGAATCTACACCCTGCGCACTCGGGGCAACAGGAAGATGTCCCTGCACCTCATCCACACGCGCGTCGCAGCACAGGGCCTGGTGGTGGGAGCCATGACGCTCGGTACTTACAGCCCTCATCCATCTCGACACGCGCACGCATACGCAAGACACAGATGTTCTGTATTTCCATACAGACCGCTGGGGCACCTCTGTTGTTAAGGCCGGAATTGCGCACGACATGGGTGGTATGGCTAGCATCACGCCCGGTCGTCTTTGTCTCCCTAGTATTGAATTGATAATGTAGAGTATAATTTTTGATTTAAAGCTTTCGTGACTGCAGGGATTCATATTCTTGGTTCTTTCGGTAAAGTCACGTAGAAGGGAAATAATAAAATCATATAAACATAAAACAATAAAAAATTCTCACGACGTTTCTAAACGTCGTGAGAATTTTTATTGTTTTATATTTCTATTATTTTATTATTTCCCTTCTACGTGACTTTACCGAAAGAACCAAGAAAAATGTAGAGTATGTTTGTTGAACTTCTTTCGCACTGCACGTAGCCAACCGTACTAATCGGAGGTGGGGGATAACACACCACGTCTAAGGCTGAGTAGACCCAGGGGAGGCTCAGTACAGGTTCAGATCAGATGTATCACTGATGTTGTTCGTGACCGGGAATTGAAGGCGAGGTGGCTCGGTTCGTGCCGAAGTACTACAGCACGGTTATTATACCAAAGACAAAGAAGTATACACCACCACCCCACACACACGCACCCGTACACATGATGTACAGATGAGAGATCCATGTGTCATGAATGCACTTTATTGACAACTCAAAATTCAGGTGGACTTCATAAAAACAACATTTTGACTGCCTGAGAATGTCACACAGATTGCCTGAAAATTCAGGCAGTGGCCATCTAGGCTGCCTGAAAATTATATATACTGTACATGCATAGTTTAAGATGTCCCTAAACGACCTAAAAGTTGTTTTTGAGTGTACTCTCTGGCAATCTATGTTATGCTCACATATTTCTTAAATCAATGTTTACAATATATAGGCTTCGTGGCATATTGATGAGGTAAGCTATATGGCTCTTGGCCTATTATGGTCAATAAAGCCAAATTCTAATGACGTTAAATATCTCCTCCCTGTTGACCAATGTCCATGTCGTCTGCTCTGTGATTGAACGAGCCCCATGGAATGCATTTGAGACATCGTGTAGAGGGCCTTGGAGTGCAGTCCTCTCAGTCTGTCACAGCAAGCAGTGCCATGGGGCTGACCTCAGAGAAAGCAGCCACCACGGACGAGCACGTAGCAGTGTGCCTATAGCTACAGGGCGATACGCGCAGGCTTCACATACCGAGGCGTACCCGTGCTCACTATCCCGAGATTATCCATTCTGCTGTTATCCTCCTCTCTAAACACAAGACAGTTGCTTGCGTTGTGGCCGAAACGTCGTGAGAATTATTTTATTATGTTTTATTTTTATTATTTTATTACTTCCCTTCTACGTGACTTTACCGAAAGAACCAAGAAGATAAATCCCTGCAGTCACGAAAGCTTTAAATCTAAATTTCACAAAACCAGGGTTAACTTATTTCAACCATCGCTAACCGACACTGATGCTTAAGTACAGATGTCACAAATGGCAAGTGATGTCTTCACCCGCCCGCACTGACCGTTCAGATGAAGTTGAGCCAACTATCCACCTGTGACTTGATGACGGACGCTTGTGTCACGCCCGAAACGTCGTGATTTAATTTAATTTATTTTATTTTATACCTACGTGACTTTACCTCCTGTGACTGACAAGGCGTGAGGAGGCCTTCATCCAGCAGTTGATAGGCAATGTTGGTAAATTTATCGTCAGTCAATTGACGTGGAAATATTCATGCCCCCTTCTCCTCCCCCCCCTAACTATGGAATGCATATGTAGTCGTTAATAGTTAGTGATATTTGCCACAATTCGATCCGAGAAGTATTATTAAAGATAGTAAGGGAACTGTAGCACCTCTAGTGACTGCAGAGGGGTGACATGAGTCTGTTACAACACGTACAAATCAAAGAACGTCTATTCTTACACGTACGCTTCAATGCGTGTATCATCATTACCTTAAGACTCGATATTCATGTATGCATCGTTGTATCCCTATTCCTATTGACATCCTGGCAGACGGCTATGCTGCTATTATTTGGTTCTTTCGGTAAAGTCACGTATAAAGATAAACTAATAAATTAAACAATAGCATACTATGACGTTTCGATTGCAACACAAGCAATCATCATCAGGTATAAAAGAAATAGCAACACAAATCTAACCAGAAAACTATAGACAGACATATAAGCAGACAGATATCACAAAGATACACAGAGAGAGAACACGTATCGGCACAAAGAGAGAGGTCGTCTCTGTGACGAGGCCTTAAATATAGAGAGGGGGCGGGGGCGGAGAGAGGGAAGGGGCAGAGAAAAAATTAGCATGTCAATCAGTGGACGACGACGTGGTACGGTACGCAATCTTGAAAATTAGGAGAAAGACACACTAAAATTAAATAACCTAGCAAAATATGCTGCTGTATAGTGGACGAACTCACAGCTTCTCTTCTCTAACAGGGGTGCTGTATTCAATGTACAAAGAGTACATCTTGAAGATACCACCTGATGAGCCTACCGGGAGCAGCAAGTGAAACTCCTTCTCTGGTCAAGATGCGAATCCCACTCACAGAAAGCTACTGCTGGCATATAGGCTACATACTTGTATATTGTTCCCACGATGTTATATAACATTCACATTGTACATCTGCGCTTCAACAAGTAGCACGCGTATACTAATACAACTGCAATGCTGAATAAAAGTGCTGACTTGTCCAGAAAGTAATAGGCAAGAGTGCCTTCCACCATGGAAAAATTAAATGAAACAACGTTTAAGCCTATTAGCCTACACGCATTCCGGACCGCTGTTTTATACCTTTGCTTGTCCCGAAGGACTATAAACGTGAAAGGGAAAAAGCAAGATTTTATTTTTACATGGTTATTAATATTATTATTTGTATTTGCCACAATCCACCATGATGGCACATACTTTTTTTTCCCCTGAAGTGATGTGTTAACACGGTGTGACAGCCATCGCAGATCAGTTTAACACGTGACCAATATCATCCATAATAGAGGTTTTTTTGGGTTAAATCGCGTAAGAGAAGCCATCACAGATGTTGGCCACTGCTAATAGAGGGCATCCATAAAAGTATTATCCATTCTTATAACATTATTATTAGACAACAGTTTGCAATGCTCGGCTGATATATTGTTATGTAATTCCTAATATTCTTAATTTTAAACTGAAAAGCTTGGGTGATCTTGAATAGCACATAATGGGAGCATTCAAAGCAATCACAGCCGAGAAGTTTGGTCAACATCTGCGACTATTTTTGGCCACTAACGTTGATGACAATTTGTTTTACACATGCTACAGGCTCTAAGCCATATATGCAGCATAAAGCGACTCTTCGCGAGGGCATATTTATCCTAGAAAAAGCGAGGAAACACATTGCACAGAGCACGAGGCTTCTTAAACTATTTACACGCATGCACATGAAATGTGCAGATGGTGCAGCGGATGCTAACACGTCCAGAGTGAAATGAGATTCATGTGAAGCACAGCAACACTGCAATACACCGTGGCACTAGATTGCTTGTGTTTTTTAGAACGGAACTGCTGTTTATGCTAATACCGTGTGTATTTTGCAGTGAATGTAAGGTAAAAAAGTTTGCACGTATTTTTTAGTTGAAAATAAGTTCTTACATAAATTGTATAGTAATCTGCTTATATTGGACATGGGCACACAGTCTGCATCCTGCTATGTTTTAAACATGATTTATATGTGTGTATATATACCATAGTTCATGCATTCATGCCCTCTTGCTCTTCGTACTTGAATAAAGTCCAGCTGATAAAAAAACGCCCATGTTTTCATATCTTCAAGTTTTAATTGATGCAATTAATTATGGAGGATAATGACTGTAGTTTAAAATCAATTAGAAAAGTGGTTTACACTGGGGTTAGACAAACTGCGTTATTATTCCCAGGCTCACCAGACGTGACCACCAACAGTCAGAAATATATATCCACAATTTACATTTGCACTTAAAAATAGTTTTCATTTGGTTCTTTAGGTAAAGTCACGTAGGTGAAAGGAAAAAATATTATTTATAAAATGAATAATAATAAAAATAATACATATTTTGTTTTCACCTACGCGACTTTACCGAAAGAACCAAAGAGTATGGATCCTTGCAGTCACGAAAACTTCAAATCTAGAATATTTCATTTGTTGTCCTTACCCCGCACCTCCGATTAAACACGGTCGGTTATGTACGGTGCGAAAGAAGTTCAACGTCCATCACATAATCGTGGACATGCACTCGGCGTTTCCCTTGCGCAGTCTGAATCGATGTGCTGTGGCTCGTGTGCATGGGCACACGTGGCCATAGCGATTTACCTGCTGGACAGCAGGAAAACTCACTCGCTAGTGCACGGGGCTGATCATCGCAAACGCATCAGTTCGGATCCTAATCAGGGTCAAAGCAGCCCATGATTTACTTAAAAATGGTCCATGCCATGGCAACGTGGAATGGCCACCGCAAATGGTTCGGAACCAACAATGGACAAGAGCACCACTCAATGCTCATCAGAGCCTAAACTAACATAGAAAAAAAGCGATTTTGATCTCGTGCTTGTGTGCTTGGTGTTTCGAGTAGGGTAACACGAGAGCACAACTCAACACCCGCACAGTGTGCATGGGTTGTCTGCCTGACACGAGAGCTGTTTCGTGCAAGCTGCACGTGCGGGCAGAAGGACGAGGCACCCACACCGAACCCACACACCACGCAGTGTATATTTATAATAAGCAGCGTTTTAAGTCTTTGTTGCAAAACACTCGGGCAGGCCAAACAAACATATGCAATACCGTGGGGGTTTTCATACGATTATGTTATTTTCCGAAGAACAGCCGCTTGTATACAAACGCACGGTGAACACCTTAAATAAGCGTTTATTAGGACAAGAGACCATGTCCGTGAACATCCTGGTGCAAGCAATCTATTCATCTCGTAAACAAGCACGCAGGCCGCTCGACTCAGGGAGCATCGGGTTTGTGACATGCCAAACCTTTCAAAGGCAAAAAAGAACATCACGCTATTTTACATTTTAAATAATCTTGTCCCACATTTGTATCCGGATTGTGCTACGGGTGCCTTGTAATGTATCTCTCGCAATGGTTTCGTCTTAGATCGTGTACTGTATAGTAGAGCGTCACTTTTGAGTGACCTTTCTTCATTACAGTCGGGGTCAACATTTCCTTACCCACTGTGCCACCCAGAGAGTAATCTTTGTTGGATGACTCTCAACCCAATATTTAATTCGCACAACTTGAATTTTGGCAACTTTAGTTTTAGTTGAATGCAATTATTAGTGACTGTGCCGTGACAATCAACTCATTACATACCCGAAAAGCCGGTTTAATACTGGTAGGAACCTCCTGGTTACACCAGCCCACAGGGGATTATTGTGTCCGTCGTGCAGGGAGGGGCTGGGTGGGGAGGGAGGGGCTGGGTGGGGAGGGTGGGGCTGGGTAGGGAGGGGCTGGGTGGGGAGGGAGGGGCTGGGTGGGGGGTGGGGAGGGGTGATGCTGGGTGGGGAGGGGCTGGGTGGGGAGGGAGGGGCTGGGTGGGGGGTGGGAGGGGTGGGGCTGGGTGGGGAGGGGCTGGTCACCCCGTGGTGCCCTTATAAAACTCAACGTTTAACCTACTCACGCCGGCTTGTGCCCGCCCTCACAGTCGGGCATATTTACGGAATACACCACGCCGCCGTTGACCCTGCAGGCCATTGACCGAGCAACCCAACGTTCCTACCAGCTCCCTCCGCAGGAGTAATGTGTTAACAGCTACCTGGCTGGATTTAAAATTAGAATCCTATGGGTGACAATTCAGCCCTCGGATCTCGAGAAACCCGGCCACCTTCAAGACATTCACAAGAACGTGAATGGCAACATTGGAGACAACGGTGATGGTTTATAATGCGAATTTTTTATGGTGATGGGTTGATGGTAATGTTGGTGGTTCCAATGTTGCCGGTAATATTCACGTAAGGTGTTGTTGACTGATGTTGATGGTGCTGATGCGATTATGTTAATGTTGGTGTTGTTGAAAATGGTATGATGATGGTGGTGAAAGTGATGATGTCGGCGATGGTAATGACGATGTTGATTATGATGCTAATCATGGTAATGACGATGTTGATGATGGTAATCACTATGATGGTATTGACTATGACGATGATGGTATTGACTATGATGATGATGGTAATAACGATGATGATGTTGTTGATTATGTTGATGTTGTTGATGGTAATGACGATGATGTTGATGGTAATAACGATGATGATGGTAATCACTATGATGATGATGGTAATGACTATGATGTTGATGATGGTAATAACGATGGTGTTGATGATGTTGATGGTATTGACTATGATGTTGATGTTGTTGATGTTGACGATGTTGATGTTGGTAATAACGATGATGTTGATGATGTTGATGATGGTATTGACTATGATGTTGTTGATGTTGACGATGTTGATGATGGTAATAACGATGATGTTGATGTTGACGACGATGATGATGTTGATGATGATGGTAATAACGATGATGATGATGTTGTTGATGTTGACGACGATGATGATGTTGATGATGATGGTAATAACGATGATGTTGATGTTGACGACGATGATGATGTTGATGATGATGGTAATAACGATGATGATGATGATGATGTTGTTGATGTTGACGACGATGATGATGTTGATGATGATGGTAATAACGATGATGATGATGTTGTTGATGTTGACGACGATGATGATGTTGATGATGATGGTAATAACGATGTTGATGTTGACGACGATGATGATGTTGATGATGATGGTAATAACGATGATGATGTTGATGTTGACGACGATAACGAACCCGGAAAGGGGTCATGGCGCATGCGCGCCACCACCGCGCGTCCGTCTCCATGGCAACGCCGGTTTCTCAGGCTTCAACCCAACAGAGACCAACGCCGTAGACACAATCACACACACACCGATACACACACAATATAGACACAATATAGACACAATCACACACACACCGATACACACACAATATAGACACAATATAGACACAATCACACACACACCGATACACACCGATACACACACAATATAGACACAATATAGACACAATCACACACACACCGATACACACCGATACACACACAATATAGACAATATAGACACAATCACACACACACCGATACACACCGATACACACACAATATAGACACAATATAGACACAATCACACACACACACCGATACACACCGATACACACACAATATAGACACAATCACACACACACACCGATACACACACAATATAGACACAATCACACTTACACACCGACACACACAATAATATAGACACAATGCATACACAATACAGACACAATAAAGACACAATATAGACACAATCATACACACACAGACACAAAGACCAGTCACACACAGACACAGCCCCGGTCACACGCAACCCGGGTGACACACAGTCGTCACACACAGACACACACAGACAGTCACACACAGACACACACAGTCACACACAGTCACACACACAGTCACACACACAGAGACACACAGTCACACACACAGAGACACACAGTCACACACACAGTCGCACACACAGAGACACACACACAGTCACACACATAGACACACACACAGTCACACACAGACACACACATTCACCCACAGTCACAAACAGTCACACAGACACACACAGTCACACACACAGTCACACAGACACACAATCACACACAGTCGTCACACAGTCGTCACACACACAGTCACACACAGTCACACACACAGACACACACACAGTCAGACAGAGACACACACACAGTCACACACAGACACACACACACAGTCACACACAGACACACACACAGTCACACACAGACACACACACACAGTCACACACAGACACACACACACAGTCACACACAGACACACACACAGTCACACACACACAGTCACACACAGTCACACACACAGTCACCGACACCCGCGGAGTCGGCATGGACGAGGCGCTGGGCGAGCGGCTGCGGCTGCAGCTGGCGACGCTGCAGCAGCAGCAGCGCGCGCGCCTCGAGCGGCTGCGGGAGCGACGCGGGGACCACGGGGACCTCGGCCTGGAGCTCACGGCGCCTGCAGAGCCCGGGTACGACTCCAACTCACACCCTGGGACCCTGGGTCCTCCAACTCACACCCTGAGACCCTGGGACCCCAACTCACGCCCTGGGACCCTGGGACCCGGGGACCCCAACTCACACCCTGAGACCCTGGGACCCTGGGACCCCAACTCACGCCCTGGGACCCTGGGACCCGGGGACCCCAACTCACACCCTGAGACCCTGGGACCCCAACTCACACCCTGGGACCCGGGGACTTCAACTCACACCCTGGGACCCCAACTCACGCCCTGGGACCCTGGGACCCGGGGACCCCAACTCACACCCTGAGACCCTGGGACCCTGGGACCCCAACTCACACCCTGGGACCCGGGGACTCCAACTCACACCCTGGGACCCTGGGACCCCAACTCACACCCTGGGACCCTGGGACTCCAACTCACACCCTGGGACCCTGGGACCCCAATTCACACCCTGGGACCCGGGGACTCCAACTCACGCCCTCGTGGGGAAAGACCATGGGGCACACTGCGCGTTGTCAGTTCTCTTATTCAAGTAAAATATTTAAATGTTGTTGCAAGCCCTTTACTGCCAATGTCAGAATTGTCTCGTGTCACAACATGCGGTGTGAGACACATGGCACAGTTCTAATAGTAAATAGGAATGTAACGATAAACAAACCCCTCTGAATTTGTATTTATGATATTTTGGATCCACACGAATGTGGAATTTTAATCAATCATTGGCATAGGACCATTAAATGACATGAACATTGCCAAACTGTGTTTAGAATATTGGGAAACGAA